CCAATATTTAAAATCTCCAAAAGATAATAGTTCTTTTCTAAAGATAATCGATTATTAGAAAATGCTATATTTTTATCTAACAATTTCGAACAGAATTGTTTTTCACGAAGTTGGCAAGGTCTGTAATGGGGGGTATGTCTGTAATGTTCTCTTTCGTTACTATGTGCCTGTAATGGGGTGGGGGAGGAGCCGCCAACCTCGAACTGAAAACTTACACTTACTATTTTCTTCGAAATCATACGTGAGTTCCACAAAAATATTACATGAATATCTTTATAGTAATTCTATAGACTATTTACATAGTCAGTACATCGGATCTATTTAATCATGCTTAACAAGTTTAGATTTCATAAATCAGTAGATGTTGATTTTAAATTAGAGAAATACTTAGCAATTTTTTGTTCTCGAAGAACAATCAAAGATGCCTATACCACTCGTGTCTAGAATTTTTGAACCGGAATCAACCCCACAGGTTCTACTTACAATTGATAAATCGCTCTTAATTCGAGACTATGTGTGTATCATGTAAAATCCAATGAGTTATGAGTTTTCTGGGAAAAGTTCAAGCTATTAGCTTGTTGCCACTGAGATACTGCATTTTTCAAAAATAGTTCATTGTGAAAGTTTCCAGTCTTTTTAACACATTCGCCGCGATATGAATATTGCTTTTTCACAATTCATGAAAGGTTTCATTTCTTTATTCATGACAATTCTAATACTTCAAAACTGTTTTTTTTATCAACGTTTGTCTTATGAATATGAGTTATGAACATCCCTTTATCAGTGGTAAAAGAACTAGCCTCTTCCGTCAAAATATGGCAGAGATATTCAATTTTTTCTGCTGTGAAGGAAGTTTTGAGCCACCCTATAGTGGGTCCCACTGGTGGGACCCATTGCATCGAATGTGTTAATATTCCTATTCTGAAATACAAACATTGAATCTATCGATGAAAATAAACAATGTGGTATTTCATTCAGAGGTATGGCTATGCGAAGTTTCAAGTTGAAATTCAAAAATCAACATTCCTAATAGGAGCACAGCATTGTAATATTCAATATCTCAGTGGTAATAAGCTAATAGTTGAAACACTTCTTAGAATATTTATAGTTCATTAGAGTGTACGTAATGTGCATAGTTCTAACTCGAAAGAGATTGATCAGTCCAGGTCGAAGATTCCGGCCACCGGATCCTGCAGGAAAGATGAGGGAAAACACCGAAAGTCGCCGAAACAGAGTGACAGTATTCCTGCTGGAAAAT